ATCTGCACTTGGAGAATCAAAGGTGGAAATGCGATTGCTCAGGAAAAATAGGAAAAGAAGAGATTCAAGGAGAGAGACTTAGAGAGTATCAACTGAAGGGAGTAGGCAGAGGGAAAGGAATTAATGAAGTAATGAAGAAAGATGACAAGTGTGATGGGAGTACTGACTTTTACTTAGAAGAATTAACAGAAACAACGGTATTTCCAATATTATTATAATTATTTTTTGAGAAGGAGTTTTGCTCTTGTCGCCCCAGACTGGAATGCCATGGCAGGATCTCGCTCACTGCAACTTCTGCCTCACGGGTTCAAGCGATTCTCTTACCTCAGCCTCCCAAGTAGCTGGGATTACAAGCACATGCCACAATGCCTGGCTAATTTTTGTATTATTAGTAGAGTTGGGGATTCACCATGTTGCCCAAGCTGGTCTCAAACTCCTGACCTCAGGTGATCCGCCCACCTCGGGCTCCCAAAGTGCTGGGATTACAGGCGGTGACCCACCGCACCCGGTGGGTGTATATATACATATACACATACATATATATGTTGATATATAGTGTTTCAATTACAAATGTGTGTATACACATACATATACACATACATATATGTGTATATTATATATAATATGTATTGCATGATTGACTTTCTAATGGTGATACTGGTGGTTAGTTTTCTCTAGATATGTATTTTCATCGTTAAATGAATATGTATGTGGTATTAATTGGCTTGTATAATGCCCTGTGAAAGAGATCTGAGGTGGTTTACAGGAAGGAAAATAAAAAACACCATGGTGGAAAAAGATGAAGATATCAGAAGAAAGGAAAAATAAGGGCTGACAAATAAGATAAAGTCAGAAATAATAATTCTTCAAAAAATTCTGTGCTCCTTTTATGTACAGTAGCCAGAGGTGGGCTACAAAACAGTCTTGGATTTCCTTAACCAAACCAAAACAGAAAAACAAACAGACAAAAAAATGGGGGGGAACAAAATCAATTTTCAGAATGAATAAATCAGTTGCTCCGAAACAATCTAACCTTTCTTGGTAGCGATTTAAAAGAAATTTCTATTATGTGTCTTTATAAAGGGAATGTTACATGATATAGTAGACCATGGTATAAAGGGAATGTGACATGATACAGTAGACCATGGCTTTACATAGATATATGTTTATATGTTTAGGTATTTCCCTTTGATCATAAACAAAGGAAATCCCCAAACATTGTTTTATACACAGAAAAGCAGTTTTTGGAAATTATTTTAATAAGCATTTATAGAAAAGTGACAATGGGCTAGTGTATTAGTCCGTTCTCAGGCTGCTAATAAAGACATAGCCAAGACTGGGTAATTTATAAAGGAAAGAGGTTTAATTGACTCACAGTTCAGCAAGACCAGAGAGGCCTCACGAAACTTACAATCACAGTGGAAGGCGAAGCAAACATGTCCTTCTTCATATGGCGGCAGCAAGGAGAAGTACCAAACAAAAGGGGGAAATGCCCCTTATAAAACCATAATGAGATTTCATGAGAACTCATGCACTATCATGAGAACAACATGAGGACAACCACACCCATGATTAAATTAACCTCCCACCGGGTCCCTCCATGACATGTGGGGATTATGGGAACTACAAGTCAAGATGAGATTTGGATGGGGACGCAGCCAAACTATATCCGCTAGGTACTGTTGTTATCAGATGTTATGAAAGCTAAAAAGGTGAGTAAAATAGAGTTGGAAGTTTCTGCTATAGCTCTACATGATTTGAGTGTTTTGCAGAAGGCCACACAAAGTTTTCTTGCAATATAGAGCTTTTCAGAAGCAGACCACCAAACTACAAGAAAAGAAACTGAAGTTTCAAGGAACACCCCTATTTTAATAAGGAGTTTTCAGAGAAAGCAAATGTATGGCTCTACATTTATTCAGATTAGATGGAGAGTAGGGAATTGTTTTCTGAAACAAGATACAAAAGTCTACACATATAGTGACCAAGTGACAAACAAATAGCCTAGTCTACCCCTTGCACTATCTGGCCCTGAAGCCTCCAATGGGGGCAGAAGAAGAAGCATAGAGGCTGGTGGAGTTTGGGGCTGTGTGGAACAGACAGGGAAAGAGTGAGGCTGGGCAGGAATCAGAGTGCTGCTGCTGCTCCAGGCAGGAAATCTCACCTTCTAGTGTATCAGTGTCAATGTACTCCTCAAAACAATATGAAGTTCACAAGTTTCAACAGCTTTCAGCACAGCATATAACACAAAATGTAAGTAAATTATTAATTTTATTCATAGGAGTTGCTAACAAAGCAATGCATTTGACAAATGCCTATCCATGTCCATAGAAGGATATAAATTATCCAAAGTAGAAACAAGTGACTTTAAAAATATATATACACATACATACATACACACACACACACACACACACTTGGTTTTGGGGATAGAGAATACAGGAAACATCATTTCTTAATTCCTATCAACTACACAGTCATAAAATATCCCCAAATACTTTCAGTTTTTAAAAAGAAAAATATAGATATCTTGTGACTTTGGTAGATTGCCGTGAGCAAACAAGCAATTACTAGATGATCATGGGAATAAAGAAAGCATTGGTACACTGAGGACATGGTTTCTTTCATTTTCCTTGTGAATGAATAAGATAAGGTTTGGCTCTGAGTTTTGGAGGGGATTAGCAGCATTGGATGGCATTGAGTTCTTAAAGTACTCAAAAACGAAAAATCTTCAATTGATTCTTATGATCTGAAATCATTCTTGATGTGAAGGGTTCTTTCTTTTCTTAATTGGGGACAGATTCTGAGAGGAAGCACCCCGTACCAACCTCTGATCTACCAGTGTTTTAAGATTAGGCAATTAGAGGCTGAGTTTGGGTTAGAGAAGGGTGCCATCCATATTTTGGCTTCTGTTCCTGTTCTCTCAATTTTCAAGAAAAACAATTTAACAAGGCTTTTAATAACCTACAATTCTTGTACATCATGAACTATTTGTTGTTTTAAATTACAATTTGAACTTATATATGCAACTCACCATTCCACATGAAAATACTCTGAAATTTTTCTTCTCAAAGGGACACCACTTCGATCCTCTAACCTCTTTACAAATGTTCTATTTGTTTGACTTGTGTTACACGCTGAAAACTGATTATTTTCCCAACAAAGAAAAAACAATTACAACAGACCAGAGTCTTGTGTCTTCAAAAAGTCTTTTGATTTCATTTTTCATCTTTAGCAGAATTATTCGCTTTTGAAGAAAAAATAAAAGGGCTCCAGCTCTGCAGAGAGTAATTCACTTATAAGAGAATATCTGCTAAATAAACAAAACCTAATGGACATTTTTCTGGGGAATATTTTTCTGTGGCCTAAAAAACGAATCTACATGGCCTACGCATACACTGTGGTTCAGAGCAAGCTTCAAGGTTTTATCTTTTTGTCTCCACGATGCAACTTGGGTCTTCACTTGTGTGTAATGAAATCAAGGAAAAGATGTGACTTGAGTTTCCAAGTATTGTTTCTCAACTTGATCCTACCTATTCAACGCTTTTGGCTCTGAATACTGAAATGGAATCTGGATGGAATGAAATTAATACAGGGTAGGACCCTGTGCTTTAATGTAGAAGGGGCCACATTTTCCCTTGGCTAATTTCTAAATTTGAAAATAATCACATAGTGTGACTTTACTTTGTCTTGTTTTTCATTTCCATTTAAATGAGATGACTCCAAACTTGAGTTTGGTCTTATAATTAAAAGGTTTGCTATGTTAACTTTCTGCAAATATTTAGTACAATGATACCATTTATTTTCAAATATGTGATCTGGATTTTCCTGAATATAGTCATCTTGAATACGGTCAATGCATAAGACAAAAAAGGGAATACAGGATCTTGGGACTTCATAATGGAACAGTAAGATTACAGAACTGCAAAAAGACTCTTGCCATTATTCTTGGCAGTGGGCAAGTAGTAGTAAGCTAAGAGTTGCTAGGATGATGGTTTAAAAGGATTCCTATGTGGCGGAACTCATCTCCTTGTATGAAAGCAACTCAGAACCGATACCTGACTGCAAGCATCAGATGCAATTAGCACAGTGCAGTATTTTTCAAACTTTTCTATAGCAATGAGATCTTTTTTTTTTTAAATAAATTTCTGCTAATGTTCAATGTATAATGCAGACAGAAGCAGGACTCCTCTGGTTGACTTGGGCCTAGCAGTAGGCACCACATAAGCCCCAAAACTTGGCAGAGCCATGACAAACCACTGATTTAACAAATCAAGAAATCAGAGAGTCACCTCAATCCCTTAATAGTTGCCAGAGCTTAGACAACTTACAGTCTTTTTGAATGAGTGTGTGTGTATGTATGTGTGAGTGTATGTGTGGGTAGATTAATTCCCACTTTTCAGGATTATTGTGAAGATAAGTGATAATGCAAATAAGGCACTTAGCCCTGTCCCTTGCCTGTAGGTAGACATTCAAGAAATTGTTACTACTCTTGTTACTATCATCACCATCCTAACCATCACAGTACTACCATTTGCTAAGCACTAACCATGTTCCAGGCTTGCTGTAAAGGGCTCTGTATACATTAACTCTGTTAAATTACAGATGATGACACTGAGGCTTAGGAAAGTTACATACTTTATCCAAGACAAATAATAAGTAATGGAGTTGGATTTAAGCCCCAAATCCTGAATTTAACCCCAGAGCTCAGTTGCTTCTTATTAGTAATAAACTGCAGGACTCAGTATGTATTTTTGTAGGATAGTCTCCCTATATCTTAGCTCTTCCTTACTGTATTAGTCAGAGTTTCCCAGGGAAACAGAACCAGTAGGTTTTGTGTGTGTGTGTGCATGTGTGTGCCTGCACATAGAGATATATACACATACATATTTATATGTGTATGCATATATGTGTGTGTGTATATGTATATATATGTGTGTGTGTGTATATATGTATATAGTGTGTGTACACACACATTTATTACACAAATCAGGAAAGCCAGTGGTGTAATTCAGTCTGAGCATGAAGGCCTGAGAATCGGGGGTGGTATTTGGATGCAGCATCAGCAAACATTGTTCATCATGCACTGAAGATAGCAAAGGTCCTGGGTGGGATAGAGCAGCCTCTCTACATTTTGATTTCCCTTCTGTGCTCTTTTTTGGAGAATTAGGAGAGTAAAACAGGAAATACCATGAAATGTTTGGAGACCTTTGTTCCATTTGCTACTCTTCATCAGAAGATAATAAATGGTCTTTTCCCTCCTCCATCACATATGAAGTCATCTTTCTGACATCAAAACCATCCATAAATAAGTCCCTTTTTACAATCTAAACTCAGTTCCTTCTACAACATACAACCGTGCTTCTACCATAGCCAATTCATTCTCTTCATTGTCTCCTGAGACTGATAATTTATCCTCATCTCATTCATTCATCAAGCAGTAGGTAATATTCTTTGTGCACAAAGTACTTCGCTAACAGAGTTCTTTTCAACAGAAGGAAGACAGTAATTACAGTTAGCATTTATTGAGTTATTGGTACGTGCACTTGTAATAACAGCCAACATGCATTGAGCACTTACTATGCGATGGGCATTGGATTAAATACTACACGGGATTCACTGTATTTATTCTGTCCAACAACTCTATGTTGTTTTTCTTCTCCCTATTTCACAGAGGAAGAAACTAGGGTAAAGAGAGCAAGTGCCCGAGATCACACATGATAAAGAAAGGAGTGTGTACTTTCATCCAGATAGTCTCTCTTAAACACAGGGTATTGGGTGCTACACAGTCCTCAAGTAGCTTTAAGTTTACTGGAGAAGATATGACCTACACGGATAATGGTAACACAAGACAGGAGGTTTTCAGTGTCCTAACAAAAAAGCAAAGTGATATAGGAGTTTCAAAAAATAAGGATCGCTTCTGCCACAGATCATCAAGGAAAGCCTGTGCAGGAGATGGGGTCTGCGCTAGGACTTACTGGTGAGATACTTCATTTGTTTCAGCAAAGGAGAGGGAGCAGGAACACACGAGGTGGTTTAGGGGAATAGAATTGGAGATTCATCTGAGGGCAGAGCAGGAAATGAGACTGGTAAAGCAGATGGCTGCCAGGTGAGGGACATCCTAGAGCCAGGTGTTCCTTTTCATTCCGTAGGTGTCACAGGGAAGGAGCAAGGGATAAACTGCATGAGAGCTTGGAGTTTACATGGAGAAGGGGAGGTCAAAAGCCAGATCTGGGTAAAGAGTAAAAGCTTAGGAGTTTAGCAAGGGAAACGATTTGGAGGCAGAAACGCAATGCATCAGGAGTCAATTTGGCTGGAAGCTGAGCTATGACATAGGAGCCAAGATGGGGATGTGGCAAAAAGGAATGAGGCAGTGAAGGGCGAGGAGAGGGGCATAATAACTCCAAGGCCTGGACTTTCATTTCTGGTGGAAGGCTGCTCTGGGAAGTATGATCCTGTGATTTCTCTCTCATTCTCTGGGATATTCTAAAAGTACTTTCTGGGTATTCACTGTAGGTCCGGGAAATATGACCCACTTGGTGGCTAAGGGAGCCCAATCTGGCAGAGGCCAGTGCGGTTTGGAGAGAAAGCGGCTGGAGGCTGTTAGGCGGCACCTATGTTGCACTGTCGCCAGGTAATTGGTTCTGAGGGGACTTCTGGGAGGTATTTTTTGGTAGTACACTCAGCACTGGTGTGGTCATTGACCAACTGAGCAGGGCAGGGTAGAGGGGCAGGAGACCATGCACACTGTGGCACTGAGCCTGCACCAAGGAGAAAGGCTATGCCACTTACGGAGAGGATCAGGAAGATGAACTGAGTCAGGGCAATGACCAGGTCAGCTTTAGCTACGAGTGAGACATACAGCCAAGTCTTCCACGTCAAAATGTCATGTGGACAGTAGGGAATGCTGGGCTGGCATACTGGAGAGAGCTGGGAATCAGGCTCATAGATGCTTGGAGAGTCTGTGTGTACGCTGAGGACAGAGGAATGGAGAAAGAAAAGAGAATTCAGGACAGAATGGGGATGTCCACACTCTGAGGATGTAAGTCCATGGATAAAACAGTGTGGTGTCCCAAGGGTAGGAAGGCCCCACTGAGTCAAAGACTTTCCAAAAAGCAAGGAAGAGGAAGAGTGCAACCAGGACATGAGATGGTTTTGAGTAGTGGGTGGTTTAATTAGTTTCTGAAGTTACTTGCTAGGAAGTGACCTCTCCTTTGACCATCTTTTCATACAAATTATAAACTTCCCTCATGGCATTACTTTTCCCAGCAACTTTTCCTGACTATTCCATTCTGCATCTATTCCCCATTCCTTAGAGACCCAGTGCCTCTGGCCTTTGTGTGCCATTCCCTGCATTTCCACTGGGGTGGGAGCCTCACAAACTTCCAAGGCTGGATAGAAGCAACTTGAGGACATTTGGTTCTCACCTCGGGGATGACAGCAACAGCCTCCTAGCTGGGCACTCTGCCTCGCTTTAGGCCCCCAGGGATGCTTTCTCCATAAAGCAGCCAGCATGACTTTAAAACATAAATCAGATTATATGATGACCCTGCTGAAAACCTACAGTGGCTTTCCATTACCCTTGGAAAAAGGATTCAGGTGCAAAGACTTGGCCATGGCCTAGAGTCTGCCCGACTCCCTCTCAGCCTTTCCCTCCCTCCATCCCCATGCCCCACCACACTCAGCAGCACTGGCTGTCTCTACATCTGGTGGTCCGTTAACTTTCCATTGCTTCTGCTTTGAATGTTCTTTTGCAAAATTGCACTTGGCTTCCATTTCCTCACCATTCAGGTCTTACCCAAAAAGCCTCCCCTTCCACAAGCACCCTGACAAATGCAGTACAGTTTCACGCCACATCTCCCTTTGCAATATTATCACACTGTCTTCTAAGGCTCTTTTCAGGATTGTAATTATTTGCTTGTTGGATTTTGTTTGTTTGTTTGTTTGTTTTCGGTCTTACTCTTCATCCAACTCTTTCTGAGTAGAAAGTCCATCTGTCTTATTTATGACTGTCTCCAGCACTAAAAAAGTGGTCTGCACACAGTAGGCGCTTCATTGGTACTCCCACCGGCTGCCTGACTGGAGGGTTTTGGACAGTCTGGTACCTCTGAGGCCTGGATCCTCCTTCCTTCTTCTGTTGTTACTTCCTCAACCAGGACTGTCTGAACATTAATCTAAATCAGGCTCCCTTCTGTGTTCTCTTTCATAAAACCTTGTTATTTCCTTCAGAGTTTTTAATAATAAATGTATGTACATGTTATATTCTGTGAAAGGAAAATAAACCTCAGGACCCCAAATTATGAAGTAAAAGGGAAAAGTCAAGCTGGGAGCTGCATCAGGCAACCTGCCTCCCATTTTATTTCTAAATGAGATAGCTACAAAGATTTTTTTAAAAGCTACATACCTCCCTCACAAGGGAAACTCCTTGTGGGCCCTAAAATCTTTAGTCTAAAACGGTTCTGTTGAATTTTATCCTGACAAAGTACATTGATAGCTTCTCTTCACAGCTGCAGGACAAAGAACAGGACTCAAAGCCATCCCTCTGCTCCCCCGAAACAAATGCATATCCGATTGCTTCCTCTGCCCTATGTTTATTTTACCTTCTGTAAAATCGCAGATCCACTGAGCTAGATGAATGCGTAAGTGACTGTTCCTCTTCCCCCTCTTGCATAGAGAAAAGCTGATCGGACCCAAAAGAAGGCGACTGTTTGCCTCTTATGTACCCACACCTTTTAAAAATGTCTTCCTCTTTCCCCATTAGCAGCTCTTTCCCCGCTAAATGCTGAAGTCCTCAAAATCATCTTTGGAGAAAGGCACAGACCTGTCTTCTGGGTGTACATTCTTAACCTTGGCAAAATAAACTTCTATATGGACTGAGATCTGTCTCAGATACTTTTTGTTTGCAATTCTATCTCCCCCACCACACTGTAAGTTCCAGCAGGGCAGAGACTGTATACTATTTAGTCACTGCTGCATACTCTGTGCCAGGGACAGACTAGGTGATCAGTTATTCTATATTGAATGAATATTAAAGTATTCTAAACTCCTCTTGGGTTTAACCATAGGGTAGAATATGAAAGCTATAGCTGACAATCGGTTGGCAGACCCTTCTCCTTGGGGAAAATTGAAATTTCCTTGCTACATCTATTCTGGACCTTTACATTTTGTATGAAGGTAATCAAAGCTGCTCTGATCTAGAGGAAGACATCTGTATCGTTTTCTCCAACAGGACAATTTGACAAAGGGGTTGGACCTAACTTTGCACGAGCTGATGATGAAGGAGACATCCTGGTGCTGTTCTCCAAGGTGGGTGGAGTGAAGGCAGCCAACTGGGTCCCACCTGAACAGGGAGCCTGCTGGCCATCACTGGGAGGAAAGACAGTCCTTGGGGCCATGCCTGGGTGGATTTTAGAAGATGAAGTCTGGCCATTGCTTTCTTCTATCCAGTTATATTGATGCAGATTTGAGTAGTGTTCAGGTGGCTCTGCTGTGAGAACCTCCAGCTGCTAAAAGGAAAACAAGAGGGAAAAGAATAAACAGCACATCCCATTGGCACCAAACAGCTTACTTAAACTTGCGAGCTAGGCATTATGAGGTGGTCAGTTCTCTAGAATGGGCTCTTCGAGCCAGCAGGAGATTCTGATAGTGACTTAGCTTATATTGGCTCCAAAGATGAGCTTCACTGTGCCTGTGATTCTTATTCTTATTTGGAAAATGGGCTAATAAGACTTCTGTATGATGCACAGGGCAGGGGGAAGATTGGCATGACAGGTGAACGGAATTCTGATGCAGAATCACCATCAGCTGGCTGTGGACCCTTGAGCAAACCAAAGTACTTCTCTGTATACTTAAAATGAAGGCGTTGGCATGTAAACCTAGATTCTGAAATGATTGCACAATCGGGTTTCTCATTTAATGCACCTCTCCTGTGGTAGGCTGGATACAGTCAAATTCCACACCCCATCACCCATACCAGTAAAATCCCTTCTCTGATTTGCTGAGCCCGGTCTCCTAACTGAAATTCCAACTCTGCCACCTGCTGCCTCAGGGCCTCACGTAACGTTTGCAGTTGCTCGGCCTCCTCCCTGCAAGTAAATAATAGAAAACAACCAAATTTAACAATCCTTCCCAGGTGCACTCTTCCATTGTCTCCTCATAATATAGGTTCTTCCTTTGCAGTTTCTTAAAAGAGAATGTCATCTTTATTTGTGTCAGTTGCAGACATTACTAAGGTTGTCTTCTTTAAAATAAATAAATAATAATAATAAATAAATAAATAAATAAAAAATAAACTCTATTGCAGTATAACATAGTTCCCTTGTTTTAAGAGCACAATTTAATAATTTTTAATAAATTTACCAAATTGTGTAATCATCACCACTATCCAGTTTTAAAACACTTCTATTTCCCCAAGAAGAACCTGTATGCCCCTCCCTTTACAGTTAAACCCGATTTCCATCCCCAGCCCCAGGCAATGAATGACGAATCTACTTTTGGGACGTGTTTTCAATCTATGTGAAAATAATGCAGATTTTTGAAACTCTTCTAACTCCTCACATTTGCATTTGCACGAGCCCCATCCCATTGATTAAAGACATCCTGCTGGCAATGCCCCTGACTGCCTGCCTTTTGACCTTCTCAATAGCCCTTGACTTAAGGAATAAGTATTGCTATCTAGCAAATGGCTCGCACAGATTCCCACAGAGAAAGCAAGAACAAGACCATGAAAGCAAAGGAAAAGCTGGCTGGTTTCTCATTAGCTCTGCTCCAGGGTGCTCATCTGTCCTGCCCTGATTACCTTCCTTGCTCCACGTGTGTGGGCTGGTACTTACTTTTATGGCTCCCTTAGGTAATTACCTTTCCTCCTCTGACATGTGCCTGGAAAAGAGGGCCTGCTGTCCCATAAGGTGCTGTTCAATTTCCTCTAAATACTCCCGGAAACTCTGGCATATCGTCTTCACGGCTTCCATCTCATGGACTGTGCACTGAGAACAATGAGAAAGAACTGAGAAGAAAGTCTTTTCCGATCTTCTGCAAGAGCTCACCATGGTGGAGCCTGTCTTCCCATTTGAGCTCACTTTTTTCGCAAACAGGCCCTACTGCTAATTTAAGGGGATGGGAATAGGAAAAGCCCAATATTTGGGTTCACAAAACAACTAGTGACAGTGCTCATCTGGGACAGAAGGGCAGCTGTTGTTGGGTGGCCTTTGGGTGACAATCGTTATGTCCCAGAGGCTGGAAGGCATTCTGGAGGCCTAGGTGATGTAGGGATGCAAGGATGTAGGTAGAAGAGAGGAGGGGAAGGGCCAGCATAAGGGTTTGTGAGAAGTTGAGTCTGTTTAATCTTGTTTAACTTTGGTGCTGGCTACTGCGTCACTCTGAGTATCAATAACATTGAACACATCTGTTCAGCTGGTATGTGTTTGATTAAAGAAAATCTGCTTAGAATAATTTTTATTAGTCTTAGTCCTGCTTAGTCACAGTCCTGGATGTTGGAATCTGCAGGATCAGCTTCATCCACCGAACAAGCCCACCCTGAGGAAGGCAGGCAAAGGTTGGGCATCCTGTCATCTCCAGGAGTTGGAGTCTAGAATTGAACTCCGTCTACCCTTTTAATCCTTCCCATTGCTGCCAATGTAGTCATCCTTTAAATCTGACTTTCTCTCTCAGGCTGTGACTTTGCCTTGGTTTTCTAATTTAAATATATTCCTGCAGCCCCTGAGAACTTCGGAACTCTCCACTAACAGACTTGACCACCCTCCAGTCTGGCTCCAGCAGACCAGGGCTGTGTCCCTGGGATGACCTCAGCCTCCCCATTCCCCATGAAAAAGCCTGCCTGAGAAATCTGAAGGCTGCCAGGAAAATTTACTGTTTGCTTTTGCCAACACCTGACATAGGCCCTTTCTGAGAGGATTTATTAAAAGTTGATTATAATTGTAAATATGTATTTCTTACAACTCACAAGCGTCTCTCTCAAGGACCTGAGAGCCATTCCTTTGAAATGTAATCATCTGGAAGGTTTGGGCCTCTGTCCCCAGTCTCTTGGAGGGCAGAATCCTAACTTCAGTTACTGCTGGCTCACAAACACAGCTGGTCTAATGGCATTGACATGGACCAATTCTTTGTGATTTTTCACTTTTCTGGCTCTACTGAGTCCCTGCTCTCCACCCTCCCTTATTCTCTCTTTAGAATACCCAAATCACCTCTGCACAAATTGAAGTGGAGCTCAGCTCTTTCCCCTACTGTCAGTAGTTTCTGAACACAATCTGTTTTCATGGCTTTAACTAAAGCTATTTACTTTTGGCACCTCCAAGCCCAGTCCATTTGCTGGCACTCTGATGACTTGCTGAGTTCTTACCAGCTATCCCCTTTGTTTTGCATCCTGGGTTGGATCATGCTTTGAAATCCATGACCCAGAATTCCAGGGCCACTAACCATCTGAATTTGAGTAATATTAATGCTTGTTGGGCCCTAAAGCCATCTCTGTCCGACCCACAGGCTTGGACCCCTTCCCAAAATCAGCTCAGCAGAGGCTGCTAGTTGACTATCACAATCTTTCCCTTTATTCTTGTTAACAAGAATACTTTAGAGGCAGCCATGTGTCTAGCTAAAAAAATATATATTTCCCAGCATTCCTTCCAGAGACAATGGCCAATGAGATGGGAACAGAGAACATGCTGTGGGGCTTCTGTGATGTTCTTTAAAGGAAACTGATTTTGCAGCCTGGCTCTTTTTAACCTTCTCTTCTTCCTCCTTCCATGGAGACCAACCTTACAGCTAGGTGGACTCCTCTAGCCCTGTTTCTAGGAAGTCCCAGATTTCTTACCTTTCCTCTCTAAACCACATGGCCAAAATCCTGGCAGCCTGATGGCTATTTTTACCAGAATTGTCATAATGAAAATACTTTCCTAAGAGTAATGTTTTTATATTGAAAATTCTCCATATTTTGTTTTGGGAGTTTGGTTTTGATTCTATCCTCTAATTTTTATACTGAATAACATATTTTGCATAGTAAAGCTCCCCAATTACTCTTGCATCAATGTGAGTGAATTTGAACCAGTTAGGGGATCTCTGAAGCGATACTGATGTTGGCAGGAATGCTAGATTATGGCTCTTAAGACCAGAAAAGATCTTGGAGACCATGAAGGGCATCTGTTATAGATACATGTTCTGACATAGAATGGCTAGTTAACTTGTCTGTGGTCAAAAAATAACACTTAGATTTCAAACCCAAGTCTCTTGGTTCATTTCTTTTCTTCTAAGATCTGAGTCACAGCAGGGACCACAGTATAGTTGAACACAAGGATAAGTTGCTTGTCCCTTAGCGGCAGGCTGTTTGAGTGGTTCTAGTAGCTTCCTATCAGGTAACCAAGACTTCCCAACTGGTTCAAATTCACTTCAAAGTTCTAGGGACAGTGACGCCGGGGTCATGGAAGTGTGGTGCTCAAATAGGCTGAACATCATAAACACTGAATTTTATGCTCATCTAGTTATTTTGGGGCAGCCTTTTGTGATTGAAAGGCATAAGATTGGGGTGCTTGGGTTTGGGAATAACTGATGGAGTGTTTGTTCTCTGAGAAGGGAGGGATGCGGAAGATTCTGAAACGGTGCCATCTTCTGGTCATTTGGAAATATCGAAAAAAACATTTTAGCCCTAGAATAAGTATAGAAATGATTTCATAATAAAGAAAACTGTAGGTAAGAAAAATAAATAAATAAAACTCCTCGAAAACAGAATGTTTTGAATGTTTCCTCCCCCTCCTCCTCCTCCTCCTCCTCTTCCTCCTCCTCCTTCTTTTTTCTTCTTTTTCTTACAATATAAAGGCTTGATTATAACCTAAATGCCAAATGCAAGTTCTGCTCTACTGGCCCAAACCCATTGAAACAAATTTTAACTTCAATGGTAAGAGCACCATCACCAAAAGACAATGAATTTTCACTTCCAATATGCTCATATTACTTTTCCTTATTTGTATACCTTTATTTTTCTCTAAAACTAAATCATAAACAATATGGAAGTACTTCTAAAATTCAGAAATCTTATTTCTGATAGATCTTATTTTCTGGAATTTTTTTTTAATTAACACTTTTTAAAATTAACAAATTATCCTGAAGAATTTACCTATATATAACAATTTAGTTATACCAAAAAACCATTTTTTTAAATTAACAAATTATTGCAAAGAACTCACTTATATGTGAAAATTTAATTATATCAACATCAACAAATCATTACCCTAGAAAACCCAAAGAGGCCAGAAAAATGGCATTTATCAGTTAGTCAAATGTTTCTCTACAGTGTTATATATTGCTATTGCTATATTAGGGGGGTAAGATAAGGATGTTTTTGAGTCTTCAAGTCCTTTACGTAAAATTGCTCTTAGTTTCAACATCTGCTCAGAACTCCCATTGTCTTCTTCTTCATCCTTTTTTTTTTTTTTTTTTTTGAGAAGGAGACTCATTCTGTTGCCCAGGCTGGAGTGCAGTGGCATGATCTTGCCTCACTGCAGCCTCTGCCTCATGGGTTCAAGTAATTCTCTTGCCTCAGCCTTCTGAGTAGCTGGGATTATAGGCACACACCACCACACCGAGCTATTTTTTTTTTTTTTGTATTTTTAATGGAGATGGGGTTTGCCATGTTGGCTAGGCTGTTCTTGAAGTCCTAACCTCGGGTGATCCACCCACCTCAGTCCCCCAAAGTGTTGGGATTACAGGTGTGAGCCAACATGCCCGGCCTCCCATTGTCTTCTAAGAGATGTCCACCTCTGCTTATAATCTTCACTTGGTTCAAGAGCTATTTCCTGTTAATATTTTCATAAATAAATTTTCTAGCCATGTCTAGCACTTGGCATCTAATTTAAAGCCAATTTTCTTCGGAATATTTTTCAGGCATTACAAACCCAGGCTCACTCATAGTAGATGCTGCTGCATGCAGTAACTTGTTCTCTTTGTGCTTTAAATGTCTTTAAGCAGTCTCCTCTTATGGAGGAATGCAATCCCCTATTTCTACTTGCTTTCCAGCACATGTGTCTGTGCACATATGGATGCCTGCATAGAAGTATAAATATGCACACGTATACGCATGTATGTTTGAATTGTTTCCTTTGAGTGTATTTTTCTGTTTCTTTGGATGTAAATAAAGGGAAATTCATTGTCATCTGGTAAAACCTTATATAGCACCCATTTCAGCAGGTGTATGATGCCAAATCAACTGGATATAAAAGTACCTTTTTTTGTATAATTGCAAATTCTAAGAGGAAAGAAGGTGAACGCAATAGGAGACAAAGCATTAGAAGCCTTTGGATGGTGGCCCTCACACCCATTCAAACTCCTACTTGTTTAAAATCTACCCACGTCTGAGGATAGTTACTGAGCATAATGGGCCACAAAACCTCCCTGTTTTCTGCAGAAGTGTTGATATGCCAAAGTGTCAAATCAGGAGGAACATCTATTTCCAGCTGCCAAATCTCTCCACAACAGCTGGGGCTACTCACACCCAAAGCCCTCTTTTGACACTAGGCACGAGGAATAAGAAGAGCTGGGTCCACACTTGGTCACCCTGGAGCTGGCCCAAGTTTAATCTTCTGCTCCTATTCTAAATAATATCCTTACCATGATGAATCTGGCTGTAGCTTCCTGTGCCTGTTTCCCCAGGGCCACCTCTTACTCTTTCCAGCCTACCTTCCTCTGAGAAGCTGCAATCCTTCTACCTGCGAATCTGCTCCCAGGTGCTAGATGCCCACTCGTACTTTCAATCCCCAGAATCGTGCTTCTGCAAATTCATCAGGACACCCCCAGTACCTCACAGACTCTCAAACCTTTTACACTAATGGTCTTACTCGGCTGTGCTACTGACCAGTCATGGTCTCTGGATGCTGTGGTTTGCCTGATAGATTACACACCCTCTGGCAAGTAGTCAGAACCACTTTTGAGCCACTCTCAACCCTGGTACCTCTTTTATTTGCACTGATTTGTCCAAGGCACCCCAGCTATATGAAAGAACCTCATTAGGTAGGTCGTGTTTTCAGTTTGTGTCATGGGAGGCTGTGTTAGCCATTTTTCTTTTTTCAAGATATAGCTTTTATTGTTCAAGATACAGCTGTTGCCATAGATACCTAATTATAATACTAAGGAATAAATTAAGTGATAGTACATCCCAAAGACAATTTGATGCAATAGATGTCTCACTTCTTAGTCTATGAATATATGTTTGTTATTTGTCTTCTGAACACAAATAATAAATTATTTATATTGTTTTTAAGAGTGGTGATGTAAACAAAATTTAGATAGTATCTTATTGTGGAATAAACATCTATAGCATTTACACTAAAAGAATGAAATTGGATATGTCTAGAAGAACCATTTCTTCTGGAGTTTTGAACACAATTTTGTTATTTTTAACAAAATATAAAACTAAATATGACTTAAAATCTTTGTAATGCTTGTCTTAAATGTAAATTAGAAAAATAATCTTTCTTCAGGATATGCATTCCTATGTTAGACCAACAACCAGTCTTTCTTTGTCGAAACTGGAGTACCTAATTCTAGGATTTAATATTTTTCCCCATACGGCCTCTCAAAATGTCACCTTCTCCAGCTATCTTTCATCCCTAACATTTTTCCCTTACAAACTATGTGATCGAGTAAATGTTTATTCTCTTAGAGCTGAGTTTTACAGCCTTGACACTATTGACATTTTGGGCCAAAGAATTCATTGTTGTGGTGGCTGTTCTGTGTATTTTAGGATGTTTTTCAGCATTCCTGGCCTCTACCCGCTCGTTGCCAGTAGCAACCACCCCCCTCCCATTGTGGCAACTAAAAATATTTCAAAACATCGTGAAATGTCATCTGGGAGTTCAGAGGTGGGAAATTATCCCCAGTTGAAAACCACTTACTTAGGGCATTTAAAATCCCCTCAACAAATGATGTAAATAATGACGATAATAATGATGATGGTGGTGGTAGGTGGTGGTGGTGATAGTTATGGTGATGACGACCCTACTGTTATCCAGGACTTGAACCAAGGTCTTTTGATGCTCAAGAAGGACCCAGCATACATTAGGTCTTGTTCTTTTCTTCCACTGAACTTTTGGAGAATATACCTAGTACTGAGCACTATGCCTAAATGAAGATTTCTCTTACCTGTTCAACTCTGACTAATATTAGGTTCATATAAAAATATTCCAAATGCCTGGGAGTCTTGCAATTAAAAAATGATCTGATAAATTATTTAAACTTTCCTGTAATCACTTTCTTTATATCACATTTATGTAAGGCAATTTTCATACGTTGAAAGGCCAAGTAGTAATTTGTTTTATCTTTCAAATAATCACTTTGTAATGTTAATTTTACACTTATATAGATTTAGATATTTTAAAGTCAGACACTTCTTTGCTTGGACTGTAGTGTCAAGCAATTTACTGTTACTCAAATTGAATTTGAATTTGGACTTCCCACTTAGTCATTAGGAGGCATTGAGATAATTATTTAAACTCTCTCAGTTCTAGTTTTCTTGTCTGTAAAAGAAGAAGGACCTGGCATATATTAGGAGCCCAACAAATATTTATGGAATGGATTAAAATGAAGATTAAATGACATAATGGAAAATGGTCAGCATAGGCACTCACTGAATATTTGTGGAATTAAGAGAATGGGAAGGTAACTGCAGGCACCAAACAGTAGGCGCTCAGTAAATCATGGTTCCACTTCACCCTGCTCTACCTACGTTCTCTGTGCGAGCCCCCTCACCTTTTCAACTCACTATACAAGTGGTTTTATGTGCAATAGTCTTAATTTTTTAATCAATGGCTGGCCTTGAAAGCCTAGATCATCTCTTGCCTTGAAAACTTGCTAAAAAGGAGAAACTGGAAGGGCTCATTAAACACTTACTGATGAATCAAGGGCTAGAGAAGGCTGGAGCCATTTAGTCCTCAGTAACTGTAGGGTCCACCTTTCAATAGATTCAGCAAAGGTGACCAAAAGCCTCTCTATTTGACATGAGAAGCTCTAAGTTCAAGACCTGAACAATGCAAAACAGTCACAAAAATTGATTATAAGAGTAACATACCCACACAGTTAACATTACCTAGAGCTTTCCATGTGCCACATGCTGAGCTGAGTGGTTTACAGGGTTCATCTTATTTAATCCTAAAACAATCCTGTGTCAGTTTTACAAAAATATTTTTACAAAATATTTTACAAAAATATTAAATGGCTTGTGCAATATTATACAGCTAAACAAATTTAAGACACAGAACTTCTCAGCTAGAACTGGAGATGAGTTACAGATGTGTTAATGCTTATAACCTTAGACATATGAATGTATGGTTCTACTCCTCAGTTTTCCCGCCTGTAAAATGAAGATTAATAATAAAATTTGCTTTGCTTATTTCTAAAGGTGATTGATTGGAAGTATCAAGAAGAAATGTGTGATACTGTATCATAAACAATAAAGTGCTCTACAAATGTTATTCATGATTTAAAATAGAAACGTTTGCCCTGAGATCTTGCATTCAGCAAGGAAGTATGAACATTATCCCTGAGGTGTTTATCATGGGTGCATTTGCCTCTCCATCTTTGCAAGTGTGAACACTTACGGAACATAGCTCCCTCACTGTAGTGTCCTGAAGGGCTTTCAAAGTCGTCATGAACTGGGCTTCCCGGTGACCAGTGAGTGAGCAGAGGGAGTGCCTACAGACTGAGGGTTCAAGGCCAGGGCTTTGCCTCTCCCAGTGGCAGTGGGAGTGGTGATGACAGCAGATGCAGCAGTGGGCGGGTATAGCATGGCAGGTGCCCAATGGGCAGATACTAGGGAAGCCTGAGTCTAGAGAGACGGATTTGGTGAGGGGCTGGGGCCCATGTGTCAAGGCCTTGTTGCTTGGAACTGAACAGAAATGCCAGGGCCTGGGCTCACATACAAAAGTCTGAATGGAAGCATCATTGTACTGTCTTGCTTCTGTCCCCAGTCTTGGTTCTGTTGTGGTAACAGGATCACACATAGTGCATTCTAAAGATGTTCCTCTGGGACCAGTCCCCAAGGACACAGCACCCTGAGCAGCCGACACCAGGTTGGAGGACATCTGGGTCACTACAGACCTGGAGTTGCCAGTATTTAAAGGAAGGTTTTCCATCTCAGCTTCTGGCCTAGGTAGTATCTGACCCAAAGTATAAGACCTTGACTTCACCTGGGCAGGATCTCCAGGCAGTTTATGGAGGTGGAGAATGGGCTTTTCAGATGTTTGAGCAAGGTCAGTGGCATAAGGTATGATTTCACTGTGCTTGGGGACACACTGTGATGAGCTTTCTGGTGCCAGTAAGCTGTGGTTGGTGTCAGGACAGAGTCCACTGCTTTCCTCTTCTCTTGGGGCCTCAGAGTCAACATGAAGGAACTTGTCTTGAGTATGATCATTTCCAGGTGATCTTTGAGACTCAAAGTGGTGGCTTTGCACTTTGCCAGCCCCCTCAAGCCTCAGAAAACTATCCTGCATTTCTGTGATGCGGGTTATCATAAACCCCAGAGGATGATCATATTTGGAAGTGGCTGTGGATCCGGTAACCTCATATTCATTGTGGGACATTGGCAGAAGCTGCCGCAGATGGCTGTCTTTCCTTGGGTGTTCTCCCCTCATGGTGGTCTTGGCACAGGCCATGTCTGGGATATACAGCTCTGGTGGCTCCTCCATGGCCTCAAGCAGAAACTCTTCCTCCACCACAGATGCTGAGGCCTTTTCTTCCAAGGCACTCGTGTCTTGGCTTGAAAAAGATGCGCTCGCCCTACTCTTGGAATCTGGCCCATCTGACTGTAGTTGATAGTCCTGGGATGATCCTACGCTGTGACTCTGATCTCTTGGTTTTCTACCACCATTCTCAGCAGGACTCTGGCTGCTTGGCAAGGAAGGCATCTGTAGAGGAAACCAGGACAAAGGGAAACAGGTCAGGAAGTGGAGGAGGCAACAGGTTTAAGGCGAGATTTTCTTCTTGTCATTGCCATTAGGAGTGTTTTGTCATTGACTCCTTAGGAGTCAGGAGACAAGGGTTGCAACATTAGGTTTTGCATCTGTTTACCACTTTACCAAGGTCCTCCTCTCTAGGGGGCTCAGCTTCCTTGCTTAGAAAAATCAAAAGGAAAGGAAGGCCACACTTTCTGGCACCTTGTCTAATATGACTCCATCTTCCCCTGCCCCTTGGGTGCAGGTGGTTTGTGCCTTCTCAAGCTTTCCAGCTGTGGCTTGATTTAAAACACCCCTCTTTCTGAGTTAGCTGTGAGTGAGGTTTGGGTGGCAGCCTGGTTGATAGGGCTGAAGTGGGATGTGAGGGATGAGCAACATGGCCCTGTTCCAAACCCTCCTACCTGGAGGGGCAGCGGTTCCAGCGGGTCCTCCAGGAACCCACTGCTGTCAGACTGGCAGCTATTTGCTCTGTCCACCCTGGCACCTGCAGAAGGAAAAAGGTCTTTAGGTTATTAAAGGGAAAACATGCGGCCAGCAGGACTGGGATCAACCCCTCTAGGTGCCTGACACACCATGGATCCTGCAGAAATGCCCACTGTGTGGAAGAAAAAACAAATGAAGGAATTCCAAGGATGTTTTTTTCTCCATTGTCAGAGAGCTCACATAAAATTGCATCACTGGTTTCCTGATACAAGAATAAAACATGAAATGAAGGAAGAGAAACTAATGTCTCTCAAAACCAAAGAACAATATGGTTGTGAGATGAATCTTTACTAAGGGAAAGAAAATCCAGAAGGAAACACATATGCCTTAAATGCCACACTAATAAAATAATAAAAGACCACATTTTATATATTTGTGTGTGTGTGTATATATATATATATATTCTTGTTCTTTTTACTAAAATTTGGATAAGGACCCTTTGCTAGCTGCAGCTGTATTATTTCTATGACTACAAGTTTGTGCTCGTGTTTTAGATCACTGCTCTTGTCACCAGGAGAGGCTGGGACATGCAGAGAAAGGGCAAAGTCACATGTGGGCAGGTTATGACTTTGTAAACAGGAGCATCCATGAAATGTTAAATCTATCTGTAGATTCTTATGTAAATATTAAGTTATATATTGTGGGGGAAATAGTTGGCTACCAGAGTGTCTCCATGCTAAAGATTAAATTATGGAATTTTTTTTCTCTTCTTTAATGAGAAATGCTTTCAGTTATAACACAGTATAGGCTCTAATAGGCAGTCTCTCAGGAGGAGGGGGGTTGCAAGGTGGCCTCCTCAGAATACAAGGAGCAGAGGGAGGAGCTTTGTCTGTCCTGGGAGAAGATTGGTTATGTGTTTGGGAGGTGAATTAAAAGGAAACAGTTCATTGTCCTTAGATATAATGCTTGAGTATTTGGTACCTAAGTGATAAATAGGGGATTTGCCTTTGCTTGAACAACCGCTGAAGAAGAGTTCAAGGGAGGGAAATGATCCTAGCCTCTGCTTAGATCTCTGCTGGACCTCACCTTGAAGGACAGTTCCACTCACAAAAGCAGCATCATTCTTCTCCCTTTGGGCAACAATCCCCAAGATCCTTAACGGTCCATGTGTCTGAGCAAAGACAGCAAGTGGAGACAGTCCCACAGGTGGCCGACCCAGCCCAAAGCCCAGCTAGCTCAGTCTGAGGCCAAAGTCAAGAGAAAGTAACAGCTCAATTTTGTATAATTAAACATTATAAACTCCATATTCTTTAATTCAGCCTCAAACCTAACTAAAAGCTAAAAATCAGAGGGCATACATTTTAAAATAGCTCAATCCTAGAGAGATTGAGAAACTTTGAGCAAAATTTTGAGAATGCTTATCTTTGGCCTCGCCATTGCCTCTTGTTACATAGTTAGGGGTAAAAAAATAGAAAATATTTGCAAGTCATAGATCTATATGAGACTTCTGCTTCTGGAAAGCTGTAGTAATAGGGACTAGATTTTTCCTCGTACCCGAACCAGCTGAAAAACTAGACAAGATATGTTAAAAAAAAAAAAATGGTTTTCAAGACAGTGGACCTCAGACAGTTATAGACAGCAGTCCTTGAGAGACAGGAATAAGTGATGTGATGTAAACCCTATAGTTACCCAGATTAGTGCTTTGAGAGAGTTTACAGGTCTTGGCATGAGAAGGGGGAACCCAGGCTGAGCCTGGCAGACACATGAAGCTGAGGAAACAGAGCTAGGAGTCCAAAAAGACTGAGCCAGCTAGAGTTCAAATGGCACATAGAGGAGAAGAAGGAGCTGCACACAGAGAGAACTCTAAGAGAGTCTCCCTTGAGTATTCAGCTGAGTACTGATGAGCTCATGCATGTGAAAAACCACCAAAAGCTGGGAAGAGAACCATCAGAAAGGATCAGGGGAAACACTGCCCAGTACTCATCCAGAGCCTGGAATAGGGAATGCACCCACCAGCCAGATGCAAAACCTTCTATTTCACAGGACATTGAGGGGTAGAATACTCAGAAGTGTTTTGCTTCAGGAGTAAGAAATAATTAGCCTTAGAATGACCACTGCTCTGGTCTCACCCAACGAGCCTTAAAAGCAAGACCTGAAAGAATTAAACTGTTTCCAAGTAACTTAATTGTGTCCAAGATATAAGCAAAAGAATATTTATGGGAATATAGTACTATCTACCACCTATATGGTCTAACATATTTTACCTATATGGTAAAATCCAAATGTCTGGCATATATTAAAAAATATCAAGTGTGCAAAGAAGCTGGAACATATGATCCATTATGAGGAGAAAAAATCAATCAATAGAAACCACCCTATTACTAATGCTGATCTTAGAATTATCAATTGAGAAAGAGCATTAAAACATTTATTAAAACTATATCCCATATGTTCAAGAAGCTAGAGAAAGATGACCTATGTTAAGTGGAGATATGCAAGATATTTTAAAAAAAACCCAAATTGAACTTCTAGACATGAAAACAACAAAGTCTCCAGTGAAATTTATAATGGATATATGTAGCAGATTAGAGATTGCAGAAGAAAAGATTAGTAATATTTCAAAGAAAAGTTTGTTTCACAAAGTCCAACTAACTCCAAGCACCAGAAACATGAAGAAAACTACACTAAAGCACATAAAAATCAAATTACTAGCCAGGCGCAGTGGCTCACTCTTGTAATCTCAGCACTTCGGGAGGCCGAGGCAGGCAGATGACCTGAGGTCAGGAGTTCAAGGTCAGCCTGGCCAACATGGTGAAACCCCGTCTCTACTAAAAATACAAAAATTAGCCGGCATGGTGGTGCATGCCTGTAATCCCAGCTACTTGGGAGGCTGAGGCAAGATAATCGCTTGAACCCAGGAGGTGGAGGTTGCAGTAAGCTGAGATTGTGTCACTCCACTCCAGCCTGGGTGACAGAGCAAGTCTCTGTCTCAAAAACACAAACAAACAAAAAACAAAAACAAAAGAAAGAAAAATTACCCAACGCCAATTACTTTTTATAAAAATCCTTAAAATCAACCAGAGAAAAGGAACATTAAATATAGAGTTAAAAAAGATAAGGATGGCAGATTTCTCCTTGGAAATAATCCAAGTAAGAAGACAGTTGAGTAACATCTTTAGGGTATTGAAAGAAAAAAATCATGTGGGTAAGCATTGAATATTTTATTTATTTATTATCTACATCTTTAAAAAAGATAATTGATTATTTAAATAAAAAAAATTAACAATGTTGTGTGGGATTTATAACAAAGGCCTAGAAGAGTCTACAAACATAAACACCTGTTACTATAAAACTGAATAATGTGTAGAAAAGGTGCTGCCTGAGAGATTTTCCTTTAACTCTGATGTGTGACTTTTACAGAACCTTTAACCTGAGTAATAGAACAGCTGTTCACTGTTGTCAGAGGAAATAGCATATACTCACTATATATTTATTATAAGAAATTTACTAGTGTAATATTTAAGACTTCACCACCATTGTTATAATTAGTTCAATCCATATTAAAACTTTTCAGTTTCCTTTAGGATTAGCAAAAATACCACCTGTTTTCCTCCTTATATCAACTGTGGGTACGAAATTCATGATGATTCTTGTAGTAACCTTTCAAAAGCTCAATGCAGAACTTTAAATGTTTTTTCAGTACTATGCAAACGGCCCTGCACACTTTGATGGGAGCCCCTCTGCTTAATAACCTGTTGAGTGGGCAGCCCATCCTGAAGAATTTTCCACACAAACTTCCTGTTAAACGCTCCCTTTCTGTGCTTCTGGGCCCACAGCCTGTTAGTACTCCCGAGGTCTCTGCAGTAGACAAAGTATGGGATAGGACAGCATGAGACAGAACTAACTTCCACTCCTCATTCCCACTCCCAGACTATAGAGGCAGTAGGGGAACCAAAGATATTCAGCAGAAGAGATTGAACCTTGGTGAAAGATGGACAAGACAGACTTTGGAACCTCTAGCTGTTTCTATATGTTTTGATGCAAGATTTGCACAACAAACTGTGAAGCACTCTCCATGCATCATTATTGTTATTTCAAATTTTCAAAAAATTTCTAAGCAGTTACTATTCTTGAATATAAGCTTCATATGCAATGGTTGCTATTCCCCATTTTACAATGCATGGATGAAATTTTACATTAGAACACGAGGACAGAGTGATATGTTAGAGCCCATTTGTCCATGTGCTGGCTGGTTTATACCAATTTGGTTGATATGGTATAGCTATGTCCCCACCCAAATCTCATCTTGAATTGTAGTTGACATAATCCTCACATGTCATGGCAAGGACCTGGTGGGAGGTAATTGAATTATGGGGGCGGTTCCCCCACCCATGCTGTTCTTGTGACAGTGAGTGAGTTCTCATGAGATCTGATGGTTTTATAAGCATCTGGCATTTCCCCTGCTGGCTCTCATTCTCTCTCCCGCTGCCCTGTGAAGAGGTGCCTTCTGCCATGATTGTAAGTTTCTTGAGGCCTCCCCAGCCATGCAGAACTGTGAGTTAATTAAACCTCTTTTCTTTTTTAAAAAATTATTTTAAGTTCCAGGGTACATATGCAGGATGGGCAGGTTTGTTACATATGTAAACGTGGGCCATGGTGGTTTGCTGCACATATCAACCAATCACCTAGGTATTAAACCTACAATGCATTAGGTATTTTTCCAGTTGCTCTCCCCTGACCCCCACCCTCCCCTGACAAGCCCCAATGTGTGGTGTTCCCCTCCCTGTGTCCATGTGTTCTCATTTAAACCTCTTTTTATATATATATATAAATTACCCAATCTCGGGTATTTCTTCATAGCAGCATGAGAATGGCCTAATACACTGGTCCAAATGAAAATAAACAACCACAAACAAAGGGTCCCTAAAAGGTAGAAAGAGTAATTTCCTCCAAAAGAGGTATACTTGTGATATAACTGTTGCCTTTCATTAACTGTACTTGTGTAAAGCACAAAAAACAAACCAATCTCTGAAACTCACTTAAGCAGTAAAAAATCAGACA